TTGGGCATCTATACATGTGCTCCAAGGGTTGGGGGGAGGGGTTTTAATTACAGCAACTCCAAGAGCTGCTGTAATTAAAATGCCATAATTAAAATGCCCAGAGCATCTCATATCAGTGTCCCATGCTTCAAAATGGGGCAGCAGGGGTGCTTTATTTAAAGCTTGTTCAAGCTTATTATGGAGTTGATCTGCAGCAACTGCTTGGTTATGGCCACAAATTTCCACATATTACATAAGATGAGTAGGTTGGGGTTCCCTCCAGCAATGTTCAGCAGAGCAGAAGTCTGGCTTTCTCTGGGCATGTCTATATGACAAGGCAGAGGTATGTGCAGCATTGCATTAGCTCACCGTTCTCAGTTCAGGCACCAGTATGCGTGGAATAGACACGGTGTTTCTCAGGTTGGCAGTGATGTAGCTCTGCCTTGTGCTATGTAGACATGGCCTCTGGGATGTGTCTACCACAGCTCATAACTCTTGACCATGGGCATCAGGTGACCATGTGGAGAGTGTAGCCTTGCTTTGGAGTTGCATTAAAGAATACACCTTCGGTATTAGGTTCTTATTGGAACCAAGCAGGTCTCTAACTTCAGCTCCTCTCCTTTTCTGAACATGCAGGCAGTTGGATGCCCGTAAAGCTGCAGTTGCTGGCTTTTTGCTTCTACTGAAGAATTTTAAGATTCTGGGCAGTTTGACCTCGTCCCAGTGCAGCCAGGCCATTGGTGCCAGTCAGGTGAGTGCCACCTCTCATCCAGATGCTTGTCACACTTCCACGTTCCTGTTCAGTGTCTCCTATAAATGGAGGCTGGTTTATAATTACTCTGTGTGAAGTGTTTGGTCTGACAGAAGTAACTCCAGCAAGTGTCAGCAGCTGAAGGAAATCTTTGGGAACCAGTAAAAAAGGAAATACTGGACTATGTGTATACTCCCCTCAACTGCTTATTTCCCGTGACATTTGGGGCCACCAGGGCCTATGAACCATTTCATTCAAGTGGAGCATTCCTTCTGCAACCAGTACCTCGCGCATTGCGGATTGTTATAGTGGTTCCCTCTGCTTGGGATGAGGCTGTGTACTAGATGCCTGGCTTGAGTTTTCTTGCCTGAGAGGATGCAGTTGTATCCTTTTTAGTACCCATATCTTGCATTAGGAAGATATGAAGCAATGTAACTGCTAGTTCTCTCTCTCTCTCTCTCTCTCTCTCTCTCTCTCTCTCTCTCTCTCTCAGGTCCAGGCAGATATTCATGCCTGCTATAATTCTGCCGCTAATGAGGCCTTTTGCCTGGAAATCCTGGGCAGCCTGAAACGATGCTTGAGTCAGCAGGCTGATGTCCGGCTCATGCTTTATGAGGTAAAGTGGGCTTTTTAATATTCTGTAGAATGAAGAGCTTGCTGCTGTGTACCTGGTCTGATCCAGCCAGGTCAACAGTGACTGAATGTTATCAGTGGTCACTGTCTGCAGCTTTTCGGTGGTGGGGGTGCACGGGAAGAGATTCCTGGTTTGACTTGGATCCTTTCTGGGATAGCTGCCCACATTCTGGAGCTCTAACTTGCTTTAATCCTTACGGTTTTTGAAAATCTCTCTTGTGCTTGATGTGACCCTTGTTAGTAAGAATGTGCTGGGGCAAGCTTGGCTAGCTACTGGCCTGTACTCCGCTTGTTGTGGAGGGCATATAGCCTAACTCTGTCTGAGAAGCATGGTACACTGATGGGGTGGCATGCTTGACTCCTGGTTGGGAGAGACTAAAATCTGTGAGTTGGATTCTGAGCATTATGTCACTGAAGCTAAAATGATCCAGTCCAGGTGTGGACAAAACTCAGGAATTTTTTATGCTCTCTCTTTACCAAAAGTGTTACTTGACACTAAGCACAATTTCAAGACACTGTGAGGAATTGGAAACCAATTAAGTGAAGTTCATTTTTTATTTTGTGCCTCACATCTATTTATATATGTGGATTGTTTCCTTCTCTTTTTGATCTCTGCTGACTTGTCCCTTTCTTCCTTACCTTCAGGGTTTCTATGATGTCCTCCGCAGAAACTCACAGCTGGGAAACTCCATAATGGCAACACTGTTGTCTCAGGTAAATCTGTTTAGGGAGAAACAGTGGTTTCTCCTACAGTGGTTGCTCTGCAGAAGGCTGGCAGAGGAGGACATCTGGGAGCTAAAAATTCTGATACCGCATGTAGCAGATTGGGAGCCCGGTTTAGTTTGCAAGTGAGATTTAGGTTTGATATTAGAAAATCTAGAATGATAGTAAATCTCTGGAACAGATGATTTAGGGTTACTCCGACCTCCCCATCGTTGTGGCCTCGAAGAACAAGGGAGGCAGACATCTGTCAGGGATGGTCTAGGTGTTTTGATGCATCTCAGGGAAGAGGGATGAGCTCTTAAGACTCCTTCCAGTCCTACCTTTCCATGGTTCTTTGAGGCAGCCTTCTTGATTCTGTTCCTTAGCACTGTACAGTGGTTGCTCTGCAGTTCTTTCCCACGGATGTCTACTTACTTAATTATAACTGCTGTCCATGTCCCTGTACGATCCAGGAGGATTAATTCATTCCCTGACTATTGCTTATGGCACCATGTCACAACCACATCTTTCTAACTGATGAGACATCATTTATTCTCTTTAATCTTCTGACAAGGTCACTGATGACAGTGTCCAGCATACCCAGCCCTGCCAGTCCAGAGGCTGAGAATGGACCTGAATTGAGCCTGTGCAGCTGTGAGGCAGTAGTGGGCAATCAGTGGCTGCCAGGTGCTATAGACTTCGTTATGAAGCCCCACCCCTGTCCAGTGTCTCCCCTGTGTGGTATCTGTCCATCTCCACAGTGATGTTGGCAGTGCTCCAAGCTCACCTCTTCCCTGTTAAGCACCTGATTTTCAGCAAAGGTTTTCAGTTTTTTGGCTCAGTATCTCACTCCTAATGAACTGTACAGATTGACTTTTATTAGTAAATGTTTAGGGTTGGGAATCCAAAAAAAAAAAAGATGACAAAGCCGATAGGGAAGTACAGATTGCCCGAGCGAGGGACTAACAATAGAGGGATGGGGGTGAGGAGGGGAACGCAACTAGGTTACAGGAGATACAAAGTTAGCCAGCTAAGCCTGGGGAAGGGGAAAGGGGAGGGAGGGGGTTCGCAAGGCTAACAGAGAAAGGAGATAGATGCACACAAACCTGTTACAATGGTCTGCAATGGAAGAGGAAGTGGTTCGAAGGAAGTGTCTCTGTCCATATAGAGTCTCATCGCGGGGGTCCTCTTCGGGTGGAGCGGGGTCATCCGTGGTTGAAGAATCCTCTCGAAGTGAAGGTCCATTGGGTACAGAGCGGGGGCGGTTCAGGTGGTCCCCTCTGGGTCTGGTCTGGTGGCGGCTTGTCTGGTGGGGCTGGAGTACTGGCGGTGGCCCGTGATGTGCTCCACATAGATGTCGAGGGACCAACGGATGGTGTCGAGCACCATGAGGCAGTGCATCAGCTTAGTGTAGTGGCGGGAGATGCGGCAGGCATGCAGGACGCTCTCGTTGCTGGGGTCCCAGGCTCTGAGCGTTCCCACGATGAGCGCATCGACCATCACATCGTACCGCGGCCCCTCAGGGTGTTGGCCAGTGGGGCGTACTTCTCCCACTTTGTGAGCCCGGGTGTTGGTGAAGGCTTGGTGCCGGTTCTCGAAGGGGATGGTGATGTCCATGATCACGACCTTCTTGGCCTCTTTGTTGGTGATGACTATGTCGGGTTGCATCTGGCTCTCGCAGCCCAGGATGGTGCGGTTCACGGAGATCTCCCCTGCCGTGGCCGGTATGGCCCTCACCAGGTGCAGAATTACTGGGGCAATTATTTACTTGCTGACTCTGAGGGTGGATGACATTGTAAATCTCTCTCTCTGGTTGCCACCTGTCAGCTCTCGAGGGGTAAAATGCTAGTGTTGCTGGATGTAGGAAACCAAAGGAATGGTGAGTGCCAGTTAGTCAAATTGCTTTATGTTTTCTGGTTTAGGTGTATATGAGCTGCCAAGAATGGGACTCTCGTATACACAGGTCTTGCTAATGGCTCTGTTTCACGGTCCATCTTACCATAGTCGCAAAGTCCCTCCCAGTCTTTAAGGTGATGTGCCTGAATGCCTGTGCTCCATTTTACAGATGAGGAACAAAGACATTAAGTGGCTGGTTTGCTTTTGTTCTTTGCCTCATAACAGATAAAGCGCTATTATGAGCCACAGCCAGACCTGCTGCCCCCACTCAAACTTGAGGGATGCATCGTGGCTCAAGAAGACCAAATCTTCCTGCAGGAACCACTGGTAAGTTATGGATTGAGATACTACTCTTTCAAGCTCATCTTCCTTCAGCTTTTTGATTTGCTCATGTGACTCATGTAATCCCTGCTCTCTCATCAGTCTCATTCCTGGAAAGTAGGAGGCCAGGACTGGGAATTAAAACCAGTTCTTCTGCCATGATGGGGGGCAAGTGACTTCTCCTCTGCCTTGGTTTCCCCATTAATAAAATAGAGATAAGATGCAGGATCTTACAGGCTCGAAATATTCCTTAATATTTGTGCAGTGATTTGTGGGAAGCTGAATGGAAGATGCTCCTACATATAGTATGGTTCTG